CCATCATGCAAAAATTCCATCCTAAAGATTGGAGGCTTGTTTCGTTAGTGTTTATCTTTGGATTGGTGCATCCTCTCCAGGACCTCGCCTAAGTCCATAGCGGCAATAAAATCACTAATGCTGATGTAATAGGAAGCTTCGTTGAGGCAAGTAGATGAAAGACGATGTCTTGAAGTAATTATACGAAACACTTAATACAAATATATTAATTTAATTCATTAATAATTTTTAGAATAGTTTCCTCCAGTTTTTACCAAAAGGGCGATCTCGAGCAGTGGCTTAAGCCAGATATATACGAGTTCGAATACTTAGAGTTGATGGGCAAGTTTTGGGCGCCGTTGGTCGAAAAGGATCTCAGTTTCGTGGTTATTTCTACTAAAACGGGGAATGTCATCGGTGTCAGTTTGAACTTCGATGCGCTCGATGAACCAAAAGTGGAAATAACCTCGAAACTGGTCGTGATTTTCGAATTTTTGGAGACCATCGAAGGTCCCATCAGGAATAATCTATTGCCGTCTGGAAAGGGGAACGTCTTTAATTCGTTCATAATGACCACCAGCTTGTCACTTTCGTCACAAGAAAACGTCGCCCTGATGAAATATATGGAAGATCAAGTGCATATTTTAGCGAAAAATAATAAATTCAAGGGAATTCTAACTACCAATACAAATCCTTTGACTCAAGTAAGTATTCTATTTTACATATTGAATTGGACTTTATTAATGATATTTTTATTCACAGCAAATGTGTTCAAACATATATGGCTATAAAGAAATGTACAATTGTCAAGTCAACACATACATTGCTTCCGATAATTCCAAACCATTTGGTTTAGCACCGAATTCCCAACGGGTAATCGTCCATTGGAAAGAGATCTGAGATGAATGTTCTCCCCAGCAAACCGTGTATATAATTTAGTAATTCCTAAATTTATTTATTTCTGGATGATAGAGTAGTTAGATTAAAGTGATAATTTAGATTCTCAGAAATGTAGCGCATGGTGACTTTTCGTAGTAACAAAATAATCTTTTACTTTCGACTGGCCATGAGTCCCTGATGTGGGAAGGTTCTGGACGCCACTTCCTTTTGCGGAGATCAATAACTCGAGGCCACTCGAAGGTTCGATCTGCACTCCCCGCGATCGCCGAGTCAACATTGTACATCTTATTTTCTACCAACCTATATAATTAATAAGTTCAAGTCTCTTCAGAAAATTATTTTACTTAAACTTTTTCAAAATTAATACATTTTTTTCAAGTTTGGAAATATTTTTTGTTTTTATGGTTAATATTTATATAATATATTTTTATTTATTTTAACATATTTATTAGTCAAACAGTATAATCAAAGGGCTGTCGAGATTTTTCCTTCCAGAGAATACATTGAGCTTGCATCTGCTTAACTAGTGGTATAATTCTAGTTGAGTTTTTGTCAAAGCCAATCTTATGTCATCTTGAACATCCAGCTTATTTCTGAATTTTGTCTTGATCTGCAGAAGAGTTGAAAATCCACTTTCGCAGAGTTAAGTAGAAGCAAATGGCAAATAATATTTCATGAAATATATATGATGAGTTATTTCGCAGCTCCAAAAATTCATCCTGTACTTCATCATGATACATCCATTTCATACATGAAATAGGTTTCGTACTAATACGGCTTCTTGTTCAGAGAACACCGGTAAACACCGATCAGTCTAAGATTATTTACAATTCCCGCATACGATGCAATGGTATTAAAAAATGACAAAGTTTCCATGATTTAGTTTACAACGCCAGCTTTAATACGAACTCCTGAATATTATCTCTAAAGTGTATCATACACTCTATCCTTTTATTTCTAAGTACTATTTTATTTCATTTTTCAATTCCAAAAGTAGGCTAACAACATATCATTTTGATTTCAGGATTAGGTGGATTTAGCTATAAGAACAGCATTGTTTTTCTATGCCGTTACTAATAACAGTAGAAAATATAAATTTTTAAAAGAGGAGGGTCGCCGACTTGCCTTGGGAACATCACTTGGGAACATCATCAGAATCTACTCGGGATATACTCTTTAGAAAACGTCAATATAGACAAATTGGTCTAGATTATTTCATTATAAAGAAAAAGAAGAATGGTTATAAATATATTTTTTTATTAATAGTGTAATTAGTAAACAGTGGTTATAAAGTATTAATAAATAAATTATATTAAGTCTAACTTATAAAGAAATATAACAAATCTAAGAAAAAAAACAAATATTTTTTTTCAACTTATTTTTGTTCTGTATTATTATTTTCTTTCAACGAGAAGTACCTTTTGGTACTTAATAATAATTAAAACTATATATGTATTTACTTTTGTTTACATTTTATTTGCTACGTCTGTTGCAATAAATTATGTTCAATATTATTAATAATAGACAGTAAGTCTTTGTTACAAATTACAATATTCGATATACTTTATTAAATACCATCATTTCATGGTTATTGATCCAATAATTTCGGTCCAGATCATATACACGTCTAGATACATATACATTCATCTGTGTTTACATTTTTTGTTGGCTGTTTTTTTTTCTTTCTTTCATTCTTCGTCCTACTTTCGATGGACCCGAACACCGAAATCAGTACTAATTAATATCCAGCACTCCATTTGTAAAGAACTTAAATTTACTCAATGTTCACATTGATGAACAGATTGTGAATAAATTTACACGACATAAAAATAAGGATTTTTTAAGCTCTTGATGATATATTTAAAGATAAATATATGACATTTCGATCAGTCTATCTAATTTGGATTTGAAATCGGATAACAAAGATTTCAGCAAAGAGATAATATGCAAAAAAAACGACCTCCTCTCTGATATCCAAGGTTACAAGATGGGTAAGAAGACTTGCAGCAAATACGATAAAAACTTCAAGAAAATCAAGATGCCTAAAATATGTTTGACTTTCAAGCACGTTCTAAGCAAATTCAGTATTTACGCTGAAATCTTGAAGGGAATGATGATAGATTTGGACGAGAGGATTGCTTAATGATGAATGTCTACTATTATCTAAACCAACATGATCGTAAAAAGAAGTTGAGAAATCAACACTCTATTTCAGTCAAACCTTGCCGTTAAATCAGAATACGATTAGATTATTGAATCGAAGGATGATCGTAGTACTTAAGGTGTCGGAATTCCTAAAATTCACTGATGCCTATGCGAATAGATGTGAGCTTATTAAGAAGATTTTAATGCTTAACGATGTGCTGTACCGTCAGCGGAAAATTAACTGTTTGAAGGCAGATATTGACAAACATTGCACTACATATTAGAAGAAGTGCACGAATAACGATATGAATATAAAAAATGTGGGTATGATTTCCTTTAATTACTCTACTAGTCAGAACGAGAAGATGGTTAAAGATTTAATGAATTCTTTTGAATAAATTGCTCAAAGAGTGGATTTTTTTTATAAGGAATTGAAAGAAATAAAAAATGCTTAAAAAGGCTTGGTAAGCAAAATAAGAACTTAGTAACTAATTTACAGCTTCCTGATGACTATATGATTGCAAAATAACCATATTTGTATATAATGTTTGATTAGAAATTTGTTTGTGTTGTTTGTAAAAATTATTGTATATTTTTGAAATTTAAATAAATACTGTTTGTTTCTGTATTGATATTTATTTGACTATTTGCTTTCTCATTTGAAAATAAATTTGAGTATTGAAAAACAAAATTGTGCAAATTTTCTATGAAAATGCATGAACTTTTGATAAAAAAAAATTCTCTATAATCCAAAACTCAACTGGATCTGATTATCGAAAATATTATTTAATATCTATTAATTAAGATGAAACTATCTGTAAATTTTGCATTATCTTCCTTCAACTTACAAGGTGTATTTTCTTTATCTTCAACTTGCAGCAGCTTTGACTACAATTTATCTTCAAAGATTGAGATAAATTTTAGTCAAAGCTGTTGCTAGTTGAAATATTTGAATTCTTTTCATAGGTATCTTCATCATTTTCTTCTTTTATCATTATTTTTTTTGTCAACATCATCAACAAAGCCCTCTTTATTGAATTCATACTTTCTTAATAATTTCCTCTTCTTTCTTCTTTATTCGATGGACATAAGATTTTTCTATATTATTTTCAAATTGCTTACATTTAATCCATATCGCCTCATCCAAATCATCCAGTCATAATCAAATATGGTTAGAGGATTATGCACATCACCTGTTTCCTATGATAAAATAGGCGCTAGTTTACTCCTTAACTGGTTATGAGTAAATACTCAAAAACGGTTACACCGCGAATGATGGTCAATAGTCCTTAGAAGCAGTTGACTTTTTTGAGTTATGATATTTATATTATTGTATTGATATTTATTTTGTAATTTTACTATTTCAATAAATATTATTATTATTATTAACAAAAATAATAAGGAAATAATAACAATTCAGAAAAGAAAAAAAATCTAACATAAACTAACAAAAATAATTAAAAGACTGGCCAAAATGCTACAGAGCGAGGTCTTTCCGCCTGGGAACATAATTTAATGATATGAAAAATAATATACATATGTATATAGCAAAATAAGAAAAGAGTAAGAAATAAAAAAATACAGTAGGGTTAGAATTAGGAGGGTTTTAATCAAGGGACATTAGGTATTGGAAAAGATATTTAAATTTGGGATGGATATTTGGGTTTCGAGAGGTACATAATTTAGAAAGGGAAGCGACATTAGATTCTTTAAATTTCTCGGAGAATCAAAGGTATCAGTCAAGGTTTTGGTGCAGAGGATTATTAGGATGTCGTATATTGGTGAGAATACGAAGGGCGGAAGTTCGGATATGGACAGGTTTCTTTTGGACGGGATTTAGGCATTGGGAAAATAGATGGAAAACATAGTCCATGATTGGACGGCAAATGGATTTGTAAATGGATGTGTGGCACTGTAAGGATATTTCGGAGCTACCAAAAGTTACGAAACAGAAATGACGGGATCTGGTTATAATTCTGGATTTGAGTTATTTGGAATGGGAATTAAGGTTGATTTTAGGATCAAGAAGGATTCTAAGACATTTAAAAAGTGTTGATGGGTAAATGGTATGATTATCTAATGTAACATGTGGAGATAATAGGGAATATATAATTGATTAAAGTTCATTCTATGTATACAAACAAATGGTTTTAATTCCCACTAAAAATCGAACGTTTTTTTTTTGTCTACCTATTATATCAACTTGATCATACATTTTATGTATTATGTGTTTATAAAAATAATAACAAAAAAACTTATTCGCACGCTATGATCGGCATTTTGTTATTGAATTTTCGCTATAATACAGAGCCACCACAAGCTTACGTGCAGTAGGAATGAGGAGCCACAATTTCTTATGAAAAGAGCCGCATACGGTTCCGTATCCATGGATATGAAATATAATATGTAAATTAATGTTATGTTTATAATTTTATAAATAAAGTATATAACCTTCCCAAGAAGCTACTATATAAGTGCATTGTGGTCACACCCATTTTCGAACGTACCGACATATTTTTTTTTCTCTTTGGAGGCATAAACAGCTTAGGTCGTGAGTTTGATTGTGATTTATCATAATCACAAAGGGCTCATATAAAATAATGCAAAAAGTAAGTTAAAATAAATTAATTAAATTGGTTAGTTAAAATAGATAAAAGTAACAGATTAAAATCAAGAGAGTGGACAGTACAGGACATACTAACTATTAAAATTATCAGAATAGATATAACATCAGAATAAATTAGGAAGTAAATAAATAAATTAACTTGGTAAAGTTATATAAGTAAAAGTAACCTATTAAAATCAATAGAGTGGACAATAAGGAACAAATTACTTATTAAAAGTATCAAAATAGATATAATATCAGAGTAAATTAGGTAACTTGATAAAGTAAAATAGGTAAAAGTAACATATTAAAATGACAGAGTGGCAGTACAAGACGACTTATAAAAAAAATCGAAACAAACGCACACAAAAAAAAAATAAAATAAATAAACAGATATACATCATTTATAGTTGTCAAAAATGAAAAGACAGATTCGACCGACCCCCTCTTGTTGTCGAGATCGACAACAAGGTCGCCCCGCAGACTCCCATCCTCCGTCATACCTCAGACAGCGATTATCGGGGGT